TCTTTAAAATCACACCACCTAACTCGACAGCGCAAGATTTAAGTACACGTGATGGAATTCCATCAGGCGCACAACTATATTTTAGAGAACTCAACCCTTCAAAAACGTCATCTTTCGAAATAACCAAGTTAGGAATTGAAACCGAGTTAGTTATAGGATATGGGTAGTTTGCCGATAAATCGAAATTAGCAATCGAAAAGTTTCGTCGGAAATACTCAGCAAACAGATTTGAGATTTCAAAATCATCCGAGGAATCAGAGCCATTAAAAGAAACATGAGAGGGATATGTGGAAATTTTTCTTTTAGGGTCAACATATTTAAATAAGTATTTAGGATTAGCAAACAGGGAGGATTTAATGAACTGAAGGTATCTGCAGTAACAATGGAGGTTAAGGAAGTTAAATCTACGCCTTGCCACGGATTAAGCGAAATAGTCAAGAGCAGAGCCACTTTTCGAATATATTTTGAATAGCGTGGTTTTTCTGTTCTTGTAAATTGTCCTATTAAACCACGGAGGACACCTGCTTCGAGCTCGACGTTGCTTGATCGGAACAGATGCATTTAATGTATTGTAGAACGATTTCAATACTTCCAATTGAGAAACCAAGCCTTATATGTGAAAGATGATATTTTAGCAATACAATATTGATTTTATGAAAATCGTAATATTTATTTGAAAAAATTGGATTCGGAACATTAAAACGGTTCAACGAACCATCATGCTTGTGATGAAAGGAAATACACATTAATGGATGAGAAGGATCCTCAGGTATACTAAAAGGTGGAAAACGATTTAAACTAATCTCAGAGAGATTGGTTGATTCCAAAAATTCTATTTAGATTTTTCTGCAGTTCCACAGGTTATATTGAAATACTGGTGGTATTGAATCATTACTCTAAATTGCCGGTTTTAAAACCAGGTAAGAAAGTTACCAGTGGAGCAATTTGTAATTTTAATAAAGAAAAGATTTTTTATATATATGGCGTTACTCCGTGGGTAGTATCAGATTACGGTGTACAATTCAAATCAAGGCAATTTACGACGCTGCTAGACAACTATAATCAAAAGCATTTAGTAACACCAATATATTCGCTTCATGCTAATGCCTTTGGAAGGATTAATAAGTTAGTCTTGGCAGCTGTACGTAGTTACATGAGTCCAATTCAACAGTATTGGGATGAAACGCTTAACAGTATAAATTATGCTTAACCCCTTTAGTGCCACACATATTTTACCAATATATGCTAAAAATGCCAGTAAAAAAGTGTAGATAATTTGAGCAAGACAAATATTCACCATTTCCGCACCAATATCCATAATTTTTTCAACATTCTCTTCAGAAGATTTTATCCTATGATAATAAAAACACAGAAATTGAATACTACATATTTATTCACAAGGAAGTTTCAGAAAGTATATGGAAAATAAACAAAATTTATTTACAAACGTGTTTTCCTACAAAACGTGGCATTTGATACATATGTGATTGGATCATATTTTTTAGGTCATCCTTACTACCGCTACTGTCACTAATAACACGCAACCTCCAATTGACAGGAACCACAATATCACTTCCGCTATCGCTCTCATAATCGCTAGCGCAGTTTTTAAATTGTTTTATCATTTCCATGTCTGTATCTGAAAATTCATTTGTGTCCGACATTTTAAAATCACAATTAGAAATATTGTTTTTTTAAAAAATATGCTATCGAAGATAGTTAGAATGCAATATAACGAATAAAACTACGAACACGTTAACACGGCCGTCACCTGCGCGAGCCCAAAGTGAAATGTCAAAATCATCTCTGTCGCTTCGGTGGCATTTTTCACAACTAGCGAGAGCAGCGTGACGGCGCTCCTTGGCACTAAAACGGTTAATGTTCTTTGATATTCTTTAACATTCATCAATCGGCTTGTCCCCATATTATTTAGCGTTTAGTCACCAGATGATTATTGATTCGCAAACGTATAAATTAGTCAGACAATTAGGTACATTATATGATAATCAGAGAAGCTTTGACGTCCATGAGGACACCATGTATATCTTACATAAGCAAGCGGTGAAAAATCTATTTTATGGAAGGCGAGAAATTCGGTTGAAAAAATTTCCTGTTGAAAGAATTGCCGGTGAAGTTCGTTGCGTCTCTACTCGGTGGCGTTGCATGCTTGGTTAGAATTAATTTCGAACTTTTTAGAACAAAATTGAGCTACGAGGAAAAAAGTGATACTCATTAAATATAAATTGACCATAAAAAGAAAAACTACGGAAAAAGTACACGAGGTTCAACACAAAAAAAAGGTCGTGAAAATTTATTTTAATTTGAACTATCATAATATCAATAATGTCTTATTTTAAGTTATGCTACTAACAGCTGAAAACAGTCAGGTAAAGCCAGGTGAGTTTAGTTAATTGTTTGTACTTTTGATTTAAATTTATCAGAAAAAAAAATTAATTTTACTCAAACTAAAACTTACATTTGCAAACATATCCATTTTTATCTTATCACTACTTAAGAAAACACAAGGTACCCACGCACAACTGGACATTATAAAAAACTGTCTCGCAGACAGCTCTAAGTGTTAGATTTACAATTTCGGAAACCGGCGTATGTGAAACCTATGGACTCGCATATTTTTAAAAATATTTCTAAACTTAAACTGATCAGACTAAAAACGAATAATTTAGGAGAATATATAGTTTCGAAGTTTAAAAAATCTATTTTTTCTATTCAGACGACATTGCAAAAACATTTTCTGAAACTTTTCGATCCGTAAGTTTCAAAGTCTAGGAGGTAAAGCCTTTGAAATTTCCCTCCAGTACCTTAATGTTTTTTCTCCGGACTCTCTTTGCAAAGTTAGTTGTAACGAAAAAAAATTTGGAGAAAATGTTGTTTCTTTCACCCCTCAAAACTAATGTAGCGCCTGTCCGTTAGTCTGTGTTAATGTATTTGTCGGTCCGTTAAGTCACCGTCCGCGGTTACATGTGCACACATACTTCAACTTGTTTATTGTGTATATTTTTTTATTGCATTATTTTCAATTATCTTTACAACAAAAAAAAATACAAAACTTACTAGAAAGTGCACATGGATTAGGTCTTAATCATAAAATTATACATACTTCAAGGAGAATAATAACTTGTCTTTTTACATAACAAAATAGGTTTCAACGTCTCCTTCAATTCCATGTTCAATAACTCCCCCGCTTCCTCTTTCATCAGGAATTTGAGTACATTTTAATTTTTTTCGCATTAGGCATATGCCTTTCGAATTTATATACATATGTAGTAGCTGTTCTTTGCACGGTTATACTTTTTCTTTGGTTTTGCTTCGCTTGCTTAAAACCGTGTATTTTAAATTCAGAATGCAGTTTGTTCATCAAATCACAATTCGCCATTTGCAGAGTTATTTCACTTACTTAACTCCAACGTCATTCTTCAGTTTTTATTTGTATGAATGTTAGAATTTCGTTAATGTTTAAAACGACAAATTTCAATTTGAAAATTCTATTGAATTTGTCAAAAGATATTTTGCTAATCTTAATGTACTTTAATTTATTTTCCAATATTTTGACTGTCTTTAATTTATTTTTACTTAATTTTTAATTTTGATTACTTTTGTTGTCATCATATATCCGTTTTTTCCTCGTCGAGTTACACTATATTTGGCAAAAAAAGACTTTGGCTCTATCGCGACAAGTCGTTTTCCTCACTCTTTCTAGCGTCAGTATTTTTTCTCGTTATTGTAGCACAAGGTATCCCATTTACATAAAAAAAACCCACCCTTATGCAGTACAGACGGGCTTTGGACTTCGTTCTCTGTTCATGATCCTCTCCTTAATTTCCTCTATTATGCAAACAGAGAATTATGAAAAGGAATGCTGATTAACGGAACTCCGTGATGTTTAGGGACACTAATCTCTTGTAAAGAGCAGAGAAAAAGCCGATCGACCAAAACTATCAACACATCTATACGCGGACGTTACATACATCCACAATAAATGCATGAAGAATGAAGATAATCTGCCCATATGCAGTAACAATACCTGTAAATAGTTTTACACACAATTAGTTGATATTTCAAACCTTTTACTGGAATTCATGGATCGATTGAGCTTTTGTTTGAAACTTAATCTAAAAGCTTTCAATTCATTTCAATTATCATTTCGTCACTCGGTTTTTGCTTAGACAGATTTCGGCTACTCACCATTCTAGTCAGACATATATTGTAGTAATAAAAGCTAATACTCAGCCGATGTGTAGTGGAGATAGAAAATGCGTTGCAGTATTTGGGAGGATTCCCTTTGAATCCTTCCCTAAGTGTAGGTAGTATTTTATCTTTAGAGCCCTAATCTGCTCGGCTGCAGAACGCCAAGTCTATCCGTCTGATGTAGTGCCAAAAGAACTCGGCAAGAGACGGTCCCTAATTAAAGTTACGAGGCGGATAGAACGCCTTTATTAAAACAGCGAGTTGATACGCTTTGATTGGATTGTTTGATAGCAATTAAAATTCTTTATTTGCCAGGTGGAATATTTATACTTAAATCTATAGGTGATTTTATGCTACGTTATCAATTATTTTAATTAGGGCGCCTGGCATCGTATTGCATTTGGTAATGCAATACCCAGCCAGTTGAAGTACGACAAAGTTTTTGTTTTATTTTTTTTTTTATGGTGAATTTGCATAATTCTGTCGCACTTCAAAGTGGATGCATACGACGGTATGCGATCACACTACAATATATATGTATTGGTGATTGAACGGGTTAATTTGGCAAATGAATCGCAGTTACAGATTTTAAATAAGAATTTTTTTTATTAACTCACCTATTGGACTTGTCATGCGTATTTTCGAACTTTATTGTGAAACTTATTGTTTAGGTGGCAATATTCTTTCTGAATTTCAGCGAAATTCAAAACGAAGATCAACTGAATCTGCCCAGAACCCACGAAAACTACGGTATATTGTCTTTTTCAGCTATTGAAAATGAAATTACCAAATTAGTATATTATCATCTTATAAACGGTTAAAGGCGTTTGCATTTAGAAAAGTTCTGAATATGCTAAAATTTGTTTTTTACTGATTTTATTTACAGCAGCAAGAAGGAAAAATCAATACGTTTTTAAAAATGATACGTAAAATAGCAAAAGTGTGTGATAAAAATATTGGTTGTTATAAAGCAATTGGTATTTACGATTATAGATGTTATTATTCACTCTTGCGTAATTTGTGTATCGTAACATCGTAATGTGTGTAGGGATAACATTTTCAAATTCTTTTTAAAACCCTTACAATGATTTAATTTATGTATTTTCTATAGAATTAATGCTGGTATAAATAATGTATAACTTATTCCATGGCTTTATCCATGAATTCCACAAATCTTTTGGCATATTGTTCAGGATCACATGTGGAAATTCCGTCAACATTACTTCCGTATTTCACAGTCTTAGCGGCTTTTGCTGCCTACAAAAAATAAATAAATAATTAAAAAGTCATATTGATATTTAAGAACATCTCAGATTTTCGTTAAATGCTGAAAACTAGATCTACGCAATTTGACCAGGAATATATTCTAAATTGCAATTTCTTATATGATTTCTTTCGTCCGTGCGTTCTAACAAGAGTGATGGAGATAGGCGGCTGTGAGTAGAAAAGCGTCAAATGCAATGTTGATAAAGAACATATACATATGCAATACGCTTTCTAATCTGTGTTTTTAGATAATCCAATGAAGAACCCAAAAATTAATTTATTGTTATGAAAAACACTCGTTTAAGATAACATGAAAATCAACAGTTTTTTTTTTAAATGGAAAAAGCAGATATAGATTCACGATGCTTTACCTGCCGGCGAGATGGAATAAAGTATTATATACAGTTGACGATTGCTAAAAAAATTAACAGCAGTTGGCGGAAAAACGAACTAGCAAAAAAATGTCACAGAGAACTTAGCTATTCGTAGATTACTTGTAATCTACGGAATTCACAGTTGATTCGAGTCAATAGAGTTGAATCGTAATATTCAAACGAACAAGATCAAAAAAATCATTGCAAATTTAAGTCCGTCTAAATAATTTTGTAAATACATCTCTTAAAAATTGTAAAAAAAGCCTACGCTATCAAAGAAACCACTATTCAGTGCTTTGAACTTAATCTCACAAAGATTTGGATACAAATTAAATTTGCGGAGAAAGCATTTTACGTAATAATATTCAAATCTTTCGCTAAATTTCAAATATTCAGATTTTTATTAAGTATGAGCGCAATTCATTTTCTAAATTTAAAAGTTCACAGAAAGAATGTAGAGAGCAATATATCTAAATGAATCGTTATGCCGCTTAAAATTTGTGAAAATATACATATATATATATAACAACTTTATTAAAACCTTAAAACATAATAACTAGCATCTAAGAAAATGCCATTGTTTAGGTTTACATGCTTACCCTATAAAACATCACTTACATTAATTATTTTTCATATTCCCTTTTCCCTTTTGTAAATAATTTCAGCCGGCAAAACATTTTACTAAATAAAGAAAGCAAGAAACTAAAAATGTATATCAGTTGAGAAATACGCCACTACGACTATTAATTATCGTCGTCAATAGAAATCATAACTCTCCGCTAGCATGCGAAGAACATTCTAATATTTCGGAAAAATATAGATCATAATCAGTTAAAACGATTTAAAACTTTTTCCCTATTTCTGAAAGGCCATGTCTCCATAAAAATGTTAATATTTTCAGGTAAAGAGTTCGTGGAAAAGCTTTTCTTACACGTTAAAAAGGGGTAATGCATGAACTGTGTGGTATATGCATCAAAATTTAAATATTTTGGCGCATCTTACGCAGCAGGAGGCAAGCCAGTATGCCATTCATTCAATTCCTTCCACTTAAGCTTTTCTACCATTCCTAATTTTCACACCCCTCGAAAGTGGTCCAAGTCGGCAAAAAAAATGACTTCCTGTGAGATTAAAGCAACTTTGGCCACAAATATAAAATACTGCATGATCATTCAACCGTGCAAAAGGCCTTTTCTCGTTGGACATAACATGAAAAAATCCCCAAAAAACGCTTCTACCGATAAGTGAAAACAAATGCGTAAGAAAAATAATAGCATTCCTTGACGTGACGAATCGTGGGCCTGTTAGGGATCTCATAGCGCATGAGCCGGAAAGAGCGATCAACCATTTGGGGATTTCAAAATGAAACAAACTCAAAAAATATTGTTCGCGCTCGAAGCGCTTTCAAACAGTTAGACGCACTGGGCATATGACCACAATTCCTTTACGAGAATGCACAACGATCAATCCTGAATTGAGTAAAATCATTTGTTGGTCATAATGTAAGAAAGACAAACGTTTATTCTGCATCAAACCAATGCAATGCAAGCCCTCACGCATTCCTTGTAACAACCGGCCATTCTAATTCCCGAAAAATCGAATTAATATGCCATTCGTCGTGTGGTGCACGTTTGGCGCCCAGCGACTTCGTTTTGTTCTCGAATACCGATTGTCGTCGCCGGAACAAACCGTTGACGAGTTTAAAAACTATGTTCCCGAGATGTGCCAACTAGAGAGGAAAGTATGCTACGACACAAGGTTCAAACATATGCAAACGTGTGCATAACAAAAAGGAACATTTTGAAAAAGAGTAAAATAGTTTTTAACGCCAAGTTACCGTTTTTTTCACTATCAGACTCAAAACACAAATAGCACCTCACGTAACAGTGGTGGAATATGAGCAAAACACGTCTGTTGATATTTGGGGTTTTTATGCGCATCTTCGTCTTTAGACGCTTCACGTCTACATCTACTGCGTGTGTTCTTCAACCTATTTCCGGCTTTTAACATATAAAATGCAATGTTTATACGCACCAACACGCAAATATGCGAATTTTATGCCTGCGTTAAGAGCGTAATAAAATAAGTATGTTCTTGATTAGAAACCCTGGGTCGAGAGGGAACTTATTCCAAACCTGGCTTCATCCCATTTTTAAACAATTTGGCTAAACTTACTTCAATTTAATCTAGTTTGCTATCTGTATGTGTTGTAGTTAGCCATTTTTCAAAAATGGCAAGCAGTTGCCATCTCTAACAAAAAATCCATACCATTTTTAGAAAATACAACCGCCAAATAACGTTTGCTAAAATTTTATGTCTTTTTAACCATTGATTTACTAGTCACGGCAGTGTAAGTTACGCTAGTTATAGCCTACACCACTTGCGGTGCAGGATATATTAATCTAGTGCAGTCGTATGTAACATGCAGAAGGTTTTAAGATGGACCCACGCTTTATTATACCATTCGATTCAGAATCATGATTTGAATTTTTGAGATATTTTGATGAAATTTGGGACAGTGACGTGTTTTCGCCCAAGGACGAAATGGTTAAAAATGGTTCGAATCGGTCCAATGTTTCGATCGCTTCCCATATAATATCCCATTCTGAAAAGTCGTTACATGGAAAAAAATTATAATTTTCGAAATTTCTTGGCAAAAGTGACTAAGTGGTAGTATTTCGGCACTCGAAATTGTTAAGAAAACTTTGGACAGACTGTGGCAATTTTTGAACCCCTTCTCATATGGCGAAAACTGAAGTTCATACGACAAATAGGTATAATTTTCAATGGTTCACGTAGTAATTTAACATAAAAAATTAACTGTGCCAAATTTAGACCATCTACAACTATTTTTGGATCCTGTCCTATATAAAGATTAAATTTGTACTACACTAGGTTGCATTTTGGGCCTGCTTCCACAGAACTACGCACATGACAAATATGCCTTTATATATACACAAGACACAATGTTTGTGTTCTATAATAAAAATAAGAATTGTGTTAGATAATGCGGTATAGGGTATTTAAAGGTCGGCCTGGCCCGACTATGTATTCTTACTTGTTTTGTTATTGTCGAAGAGTTTTTAGCATTGTATTATTAAAAATAATTAGATCTTCCTTTTTGTAGGGAAAAAATATAGTGCAAGCTCAACGTCGACTTAAAAAGTGTTATAGTAACACCTCCTCATCGAAAGCAACAATTTATCTGTAGTATGTAACACCTATCCATCGAAAGCCGCAATCTGTGGAATGCTGAATTCCAACTGAAGATTATTTTTGATAATTGAAAAATGTAATTGTAAAATTTCAGTCGGCGGCATATTCTCTATTATACGCGAACTCATGGATATCTTCTCCGCAAAAGGGGCACCGCGTTCGCTCATAGCAAGTATAGCAAATACAGCGTGTCATAAATCAATAGCTATTATGGCAGAATTGCACGAGTTGACGTTCGATTTTTCACTCCACCCACTATATTCTTTAGTTCCTGCCCACAGCGGCTGTTATCCGCTTACAAATCTCAAGAACAATTTCCAAGAAAAGCTGATGAGTAAAATCACATCCTGGATGAAAAATGTTTTTTCTTACTTAATCCCATTAACCAATATATTAGATGTACGATAGTTAATGTACTACCAAATACATATAAAGGTATAAATGCAACTCCAAATTAAATTATACTAATTTTGTGTACTGTAATATGTTACCCTAAGTCGACTCCGTCATGTCCTCCTGCGTAGTCTGTTGATAGAATGGTTACGGTTAGAAAAGTGGATATAGAAAACATAAAATTGCTAAAAATTCATAAAGGATTCAAAAAGGGCATTTATTTACTTGACAACACTGATACCGATAATTTGCAGGTATATTTGAAAAATAGTCTATCCACACACATCTGAAATACTATTTCAAAACTTTGACGTCATGACTTCATATGGAAATATCAAAGGTTCGCCCCAATACAAATATGACTTTCCTAATATGTATTTATGAAATTAAACACTCTCTTCAATAGAAGATAAACAAGAAGTAAAGTTTAAAAAATAAAGTTTTCTTAAGACTTGTTTTGTAAAGGGCATTAATATGTTAAAACTTCAAATTTCAAAACAATATTTGCCGCGCAATCAATATACAGGCATTAAATACGTCTCAACTGCTCCCGAAATTACCTCGCAAGATCGCAACCTTAGCTAAATAAAGCAGTTGTGTAGTTCCGTTTTAGCACTATATTTAAAGGGCAAATCGTATAGTGCCGCTTGTTCAACGTTTTGCTACCAGTTCTCCGCATCCCCCATTTCAATGTAACGACTGTAAGTGAGAAAGTAAATGCATTCAAAGTTATACCTGTTTTTTTACACCATATTGAGTGAGGACATCAATTATAGCAATAAAATATATTTCTCGTCTTTCTGCAATGACGATGTAAAGTATTATTAATTTGTCAACGAGGTAGCAATTTGTGCTACGAGCATTGCAATGTTCACCTTCTATACTTGGAATGGCATACATATCCACTTCGTATACAACTTCCTTATATTGCGCGCCTCTAGGTGAATCTGGAGGTGTATTATAAGTCCACCTATATAACAAAAATGCGGTAAGAAATTTCCTTTCCATTTTATAGAGTCAAATCATACATTTTTTTTATATCTCTAATGGTTTGAAAAAATCGTCAGCTAATTCAATTTATATATTCATTAAAATGTTTGAATTTTCGGCATCTACAATTTTTAATTTTTTATTTAGATGTTGATTCATGCTTTTTTTATTTAAAAATTTTTTCGACATAAATCTATCCTTAACACGAAAAGTCTTGAGAGTTTTTAAGACGCTGAAACTTCGCTGAATGACTTAATATAATCCAAAGAAAAAAGTCCAATTGTGCTAAACTGCATACCCACTCCTACCATACAATTTATTTTAGTTAGATACTAATGTAATATAAGTGCAAAAGGTTCAGCAAGGTATATTTGAATCAGTATAAACTTTTTTACACTAATATGTTTGCTTTTAGAAAAACGAAGACTAGAATAAAATGCGAAGATTCCTTAATTTTTTGATCTTATTTTGCAAATGAAGCGTTAACGTAAATGTTAATTAAACGACCGAAAGTGATGGTGGTTGAAAAACGAATCACACATATTCATGCGTGTTAAAAGCAGTTTACTACAAGATGCAGATGTATGCATGTAAGCGAGAAAGAAACAACATATAATTAATCTAAACTAACTTAACACTTCTTGAAAAGCTTAATATTAACATTATGTTTACATGAGCAAACACAAACGATGGTACACATGGGCAACAATATCGCGAACAAAATGTTCCTTAAAATAAATTTAGCAAATTTCAGACTTCTACCTTTTATAATTTATAAGTAATCAGCAAACATGCAAAAATTTTTACTAAGAGAGACGAAGTTTGGTTCGGTTTACGCTTTGATATGGGCATTTATTTATTTATTTATTCCACTTATACAAGAAACTAAAACAAATTGGCAGGCGAGTTCAGTTGACTCTTAAAATAAATCTTAAATTAATTAACATTAAAATTTAGCATACGTACAATAAAACAAATAAGAAGGAAAAAAAAGGAAAAGAGCATGTACACAACTAGCATAGAGCCACACCCACAACCGGTACAGGACCAAATTGCAAGTGAACTCCTAAGCCATCGCAAACATGCATAAGCTTGGCAACCGATAATAGTTAACAACAATTCATTTTCGACTCATAATGACTTTTTAAAGTTAAAAGTTAGTTCAAGTACGACATATGTAAATCGCGCGTATTAAGCAATGTTGCTTTAATGGACTTTAAAGAGTCCGTTAATGAGAATAAGTGATAGACGTCATTTATGTTCTTGCAAACAGCTCTGAGCGCGTTAAAGAGTTCGTAATTATATGTGCATTGACTAAGCTTTATCAAGATAAAGTGCCTAGAGAAGCGGTTAGGGACATTAAAGCCTATCTCACGAAGTAATACGGGCGAGTCGATTGCACCATTTACTAATTTGATTACGAAGGAAACCCCAAGAACAAATCCACGTTTCTCCAGTGACGGTAAGGATAACAGAAGTAACCTACTTTCATAGGATGGAAGAGGGGCAATCGGATCCCAACACAAATTCCCAAGGGCATACAGCAAGAATTGCTTTTGAACAAATTCAATTGAATCTACATAGCACCTATACGAAGGAGACCACACCAGAGAGGCATACTCAAGTATAGGTCTAACCAAACACATGTACAGCCTTTTCGTAATATAAGGATCATCAAGCTCTTTGGAGCACCTCTTTATAAAACCAAGCGCGGACATAGTTTTGCTTAACGAGAGCTCAATGTGCAAATTAAAACGTAACCTATAATCAAATAGAACGCCTAAATCTGTGAACGAATCGGCGTCTTCCAACTTGTGCGAATCAATGAAATACTGAGTAAAGAACGACTTCCTTCTAGAGAAAGAAAGCTCAAGAGCACCATGCAACCAAATTATTCAAATCACTTTGAAGATGATGTGAACGCGATTCTACGGAAAAGGAAGAAAATAGTTTCACCTCATTAGCGTACATTAAGATCTCGCTGAATTTATTTACGGAGCGCAAATCATTAATGTATAAATTAAATAAAATGGGTCCTAAGTGGCTACCTTGAGGTACGCCAGACGTCACGGGGAATTCATCCGAGGTAATGAGGTTAAACAAAAGCCTGAATGATCCACCATGCGGATAAGCGCACTAAGAAGAAAGGTAAGCCAGAGGCTTGGAGTTTAAAGATAAGTAGTCTATGGGTAACCAAACGCTTTGCTAAAGACAGTGTATCAGTGCGAGAGCCACTAGAAAAAGCCTTCAAAACATGAGAAGTAAACTCTAACAGATTGGTGACCGTAGATCTTCCTTTTCGAAAACCATGTTGGAGAGGAGAAATGGAAAAGGGTATATGCTGAGCCACAATTCGCTCGAACAGTTTAGGCAAGACACTCAACTTTGAGGTTTCAAAATCATCCGAGGACTCGGAACCATTAAAAAACACATTCGAGGGAATTATGGAGATTTTTCTTTTGGAATTAACGAACTTAAAAAACTATTTAGGGTTAGCAAACAAGGAGAATTTAACAAACTGAAGGTATCTGCAATAGTATTGGCGGTTGAGGGAATTAAATTTATGACTCGCCACTGAGTAAGCGAAATAGTCGAGCGCAGAGCCACTTTTTAAATATTTTTTGAAAAGCTTGTTTTTCCTATTCTTCTAATATTTAGTTGTCTTATTAAAATACGGGGCACACCTGCTTCGCGGACGGGACTGCTTGTTCGGAACGGATGGGGAAATAGCTTGATTTAATATATTGTAGAACGACAACAGCAAGCTGTCAATACTTCCAACTGAGAAATCAAGCACAATATGAGAACGATGTGATTTTAACATGGAAACATTGATTTTATGGAAATCATAACTTCTATTTGAAATAGTTGAATTTGAAACGTTGTAGAAGTTCAACGTCGTGCTTGTTATGAAAGGAAATACCCAATGCAGCATGATAAGGATCCTCAGGTACACTTAAAGAAAGACAACGATTTACACTAATCTCGAGGAAATTGGCAAAGCAAAAATCAAGCAGTCTACCATTATAATTAGGAATGCAGTTGTATTGAGCTAAATTATGATGGAGTGAAAACCAAACAGAAAAACTCCCTGCTGACTAAATTTAGGAAGGTAGAACGAATTTTTGAATTTAGACCCCTACTACTTTGATAAATGAAAGAAAATGAGCCTGAAGAAATATTTAGTTTTTTGAAGGGGAAAGAGCTACTGCATTAGCATTACGGGGTCGATCCCGAGGGATAACCTCCTTAATTAAGGATCCAACCGGCCACAATGGTTTATTTAACATCAAATCCATATTTTCAGTCGGAACTAGAATTTTAAAAGATGAGATAGCTCTAGATTGATAAGGAACCAATTTGAAAATACTAACGCGCTTTAAATTGGCAGAAGGGGCTTTCGCTGCCAGATAACTTTTTATGTTCTCCACCGACCAAATATTGCTTTTCTAGGAGGAACTGCCATCAAGCATATGTCGTCTGTACTAGGAGCAGCAGGGTTCACGGATAGGGAGTTATGAGTTGGGGAAAATACGACGTGCCTAGCTTGGCGACCGGCGTTCACACTCGAACAGCGAGAAGGAGAAGACTATTTACTATTATTATTGTTAGTTTTAGGCGATGATGCCTGAGAAGATTGAGTGACATCAATGAGAGGAGATACCCTTGCATAGCTCAAGCTAGAAGGACTTCCCGGCTTTTTTGTAATTTTTATATTACTGGCCGACTCAGCAATTGCAGACACACTAACATTATTTGTAGACTTTAAGGAATCGCTAACTTGCACAGACGAAACGGACTTAGCAGAACTCAGTGGTGACGAACCACACGCTACGCTACGAGTTGAAACTTTGTTAGCCGGAGAGGAGAGTGACTGCGCAATATAACGACACTCATCAAACCTAGTCTTGATTATTTCAAATATCTCGCAAAAGCAGCCGACATTTTTGCTCAAATCTGAGAAACAATTTCTCGTCTCCGTGAAGAGTTTGTAGAAATCAATGTCCCGCTTTCTGCAGTCAGGACATAACCATCGTAAACCTTTGGAAGGCTCAACGACTGCATCAGCAGCACGGCCGATAATACCAACACACGTTGCATGTCCAAAACGATAACACAGCCAATAAGAAATAAACCGTTCAGATTCAGGTCCTGTTTTCGCACGACATGGTGTAACTAAGCAATCCAACAACAAAAGTAGCTTATGAAGGAAAAAAAAGAAAAACTAAAAAATTCCACGGCACAAATTTTCAGCAAATTAAAGCAAATTTCTCAATGCCCTGCCCACTGTAAATATAGAGCAAAAGCTAAAGAAACTGTAAACAAAGATTAACAGGCAAAAAGAAAGACTTTTACTAAGTGCTCAATTGTTGATTACGCTAAACCAAAATGATTATTTCACATAAATGGTTAATAAATTCATATACGTTAAATTCACACTTTATTCTTTTAGAGAATTTTTAAAATTAAACACGAATAAAGCAAAAAAGCTAAGAAATACACTACAAAAACTGAAATATTTCTTGCACAGAATAAAAACGTGACTACAACACGCACGCCGAGTTGCCAAGCTTTGCATGATCATTAATTTTAGCCCATTATTAATACCAAGCAAGGTATAAGAATTTTCTACAATTTTAGAAAATTTGAAGTTGATATTTTAATTTTTGCGACCAGGATTTACACCTACGTTACGTTTTTATGACCATTATTAAAGCTGACAGAAATCGCCTTTTTAAAAAAATGAAATGTATTGTTTTGATGGAAATGTTTTTTACGTGCAAAATCATTTATCCCTACTAACCTTATTTCTTCCTGAATTGTTCTTTGCTTACTATTTAATATTTAACAAAAGAAAAACTGGATTAACTCTTTTTAATAAAAATTAAATTTCCTTGATATACTAATCACTAAGATCGGCTCCTATAGACGTCAATATATTATTAATGCAGTGAAAAATAAAAGAAGAGCTGTGATGGAGAGTGCGCGCAGGTGGGAACTGATTGTGCTTAAATGCGGATAAATTTCTTCTTCTTTTTATAAAACATAAAAAATAAAAAAAATTTTATCTTTCCACAAATAACATTTATTCAATGTAAACATTACTTTTTGACTACTGTTTGATTACAATGGTTTTAAATGCAAGAATCTAAAAGCACACCCCAAGAACTTTTATTGAAAAATCCGTAAAACTACGTAACATCTATATACGATATGGTACGAAAGACCTTACTGAGTAACCCTGTTTCTTATGTTCCATCAAATCTGCAACCAGTTTTCGTCGCACAAACACAGATAAAAAAACTTCATCCCTGCAACAAGTGTGAAGATCGAGTTTAAAAATAAATCGATTCCGAAATTCATTAATATAGCAATATTGCATTTTCTCCACTGACTGAAAAACAACTAAGATATCACAAAGTTATGACCATTGGCATCTGCTACGCTTGAGAAACAGAAAAACGTAATTAAGATCCGATTAATATGAAAAAAGAAAAAATGAAGTTGATAGCATACACATATTTATATAGTGGACACATATTAAAATGTGTCCGTACCGTAGCATGCGTCCACGAATAAAGAACAATAAAGGGAAAGAAAATAAAAACAAACGAAAAAAAAGAAATGCGACTCTTGCGAAAATGCTGCATTAGCATAAACACTTTAACCATCAAATTACGCCACGCGTCCTCAATTAAATGCTTCTATATTAGAACTGACGTAACCACAATCATAAGTAATCAAAAGAATATTTTAAAAAGATATGGTGTACAAGCTCAAGAATTGCAAAATAAATAAATTTCTAAGCAAAACTATGAAGTGCGTTTAACTCGCACCTAGGGAATGCTTCTGCCGAATCTATTTTGACATTAACGAGCAAAACAGTCTTGGCGGCAAACGAACTTCATAAACATTGCAAAAATTAGTCATCCCACGAAACTTGTGCCATTTATCTTCTCTTTTCAATACATGACGATCGCTTATCGCGTGTTCATTTAAATTCTTGTCGTGACAACCGCTATTTATACGATCTCTTTTCAATTACATTGATATATGGATATATATGCTGACAGATATTTATAATACACTCTAAAACCACCTCTCACTCGGGGAATCCTAGATATGAAACGAAATTTTTAAATTGCTTTACATTAATTGTCCTTGTGAACTTATCAATGAATTGCTTTACAGTTTATGTACATTCAAATTGAGTATTGCCAGAAGATATTGTCGTCTTTTACAAAATGACGTCGGATATTGATAAGTTTAGGTCGTTTGCTTTTCTGATTACACGCCATAGTGGCACATCTTCTGTTATCGTCATATATCGCAATTGGTTCACCAGTGCTTGCTTTTAAATTTTGTAGCAAGCTTTTTAAGCGGCCTGTTTCACAAAGTGCAGTACGTCGTGATTCGTCTGATGGATTAGGAACACCAATCACATTGCCATCGGCATTGCCACCTGTTTTCGATCATTTTGAAGAATTGTATATATCATGAAAGTCTTGCACATCCCGAGATACGTCTTTTTTTACAATAGCGGGAGCCACTTCAAATTCGGTAATATAGACATACAATTTGTTACAAAAATTTCGATTCCTTTTACTTTGTCTTATTGAGTCGTTATGGTTCACCACTTCGTTGCTGTTAATAGACTGTTCAGTTTTTACAGGAACCTCAACGCTATCCACTTCGTCAAAATCGTCCTCATCCAGATACACTGCCTCAATTTCATTCACCGCGTCAGCATCCTCATTAGTAACATTCAAAATACTTTGATTATTAATATCCACAATATCCTGATTAGGAATATCTTCCAGTATCATCATTACTGTAGACATCCCTCTTGCTAGTGTCTTGCTATACTCTCGTGAACTTTTTTACTGACTCATCAAATTCTACATCTTTACCATTGTTTTTGCTAAGAAGAGTTTGTGAATCAATTACTAACGGGAGAGAAATTGATGGAGTTAAAAATGGCTGTAAAAGAAAGTGTCTCACTTCACAACATGAAATTTGAAGATTTCATTCGAGAATTAAAAATAGCAAGACCTAAATTTGAGGAGGACGGCATGTTCGTTCAATTTCCCCTCTCTCTTCCAATAAATATAACCAATTTGTAACACCACTAAAAAATTAATGTCCGAACAAATGAAATAAAGCGGCCGTACAGATGAACATAATCAAGAAAACACTAAATTTGATGGGAAAAATCTTAATATAAGTATTACAAATCTTAAGCAAGGGTTACAAATGTAACAAATATAGTCATCAAGCCCGTGGCTATAAGCAAAGAAGTGCTCGAATGATCGAAACAAAAAATTTCTATAAGTCATGAGTTCTATAGGTCATGGGGGCCATAAAAGGAAAATCAAACATTGTAAAAGCGAACTTAACTTCAAATTGGCTTCTAATGCGAGTGATCATATGGCAAATAGGAAGTAGTATATTAAGAGTGTTCAAAAACTTAGGCTGTCTATTGATATTAATATTGCAAAAACGGACTAAACCAGCATAGCAAATCTTTATGATGAAATGCAAGGAAATAAGGTGATTGAGAAAAGAGTACCTGTGGCAATTAAGAGTGTGTCCCCGAACTACGCGATAATTTATTATCCGCAAAAAAGCTTGTCATTCTCGATACAAAAGTTAAATTCTACAATAAGAGAGCTATATTAACTAAAGAAAGCGATGTAATTGTCTGCTGGAAATTTGAATGAAATTAGTATCATGGTATATATATATATATATGCTTAGAAATATTTATAGTGCGTATTCTACCAGATATTTTTAATACCAGAGATGACAAAATAGATGCTTTTTCGTACATCCACACTTACATGTATACCATGGCACATATTCACTTCAAAACACAGGATAGTATATGCTTCTGTCTGCAAACGTTTGAGAGAATGCGGCGTCATATCAAGAAACCATTAACAGAGTCTTTTCCTATACAAATACTGAGAGAGAAACAGCGAGCAGTCAAATCACTACTAATTAACGGCGTTACTAATGTTATTGATAACAGAAAAATGAGAAATACGTTGCAATGTCCTATTCTCAATTTTGAACCAAAAGTTGGGCCATCTTGTCATTCAGTTGCTTCTGATAGCATATTCTAACAAGAACATTTCTTATAAGGAGTACAAATAAAAATAGTTTTTGAACTTCATTGAATGCTTAAATATTGAAATCTACGACATTTTTCATCGTTAATACAGCACTTACAATTCCCTCCAGGCATGGCAGAGAAGAAACAAACAAGGTACTGACCAAAAAAAGAATGTATTCCTTTGACTAAAAAAGAAGTGGATAATCATAATCTATTTTCACGTCTTATGTTATCAAGCGCAAAAAAAATCACTCAGGAACAAATAATATACGCAAACTACATCCGCTCGTCTGAATTTAAAAGTATATTATATTTTTTCAAACTAACTTTTTCGAGGATACTTCCTAAAGAGTAAAAAAATACTTTTAAAAAAGTAATCCAACAAGTCGAAAACCTAAGGTTCATCGGTCCAATTACTTCAGTCCAAGTGCTCGTAAAAGATCACGTTCTTGCAATACAATATATAGTGCTCGACGAAGTTCATCCTCTTTGGAACCAAAAAAAACCTTTTCCGTATTCTAAACGCAATTTAATTAAAAAAAGAATCCGAGATAAACACAACCCCTGTTTGTGGAAGCTTACCTTCGCCAATTCGACCATTATATTCGTTAAAAATTTTAAATGTGCACCCTTCCGCAAATATTAAGCCTCAGTTAAAAACTAAATAAATATCCTCAAATAAATAGTGATTTTAAAGAGATTTTGAGACAATCGGAATCTTCGATTACAAGAGCCAAAAAAAGGCCGCCGAGTCCTCATATTCGATTGCATTTTGTTCATGGCAATCCACAATCCGCGTGTTCCTATAACAAAACACATCGTCAACCACGCAGCAAAGCCGCTACATTTCTCACATAGAGCGGGAGAGAAACCCAAAGGCATCTGTACATATTACAGAATTACAAACCGATCGGTAATCGGACAGGCACAATTTCCGAGGCGTGGCCTTTTCGCCAAGTGATTTTGCCCACGCTCCGCAATCAAAAAAAGTTCACTGCACATGCCTGCGACAGAATTAAATACGACTAGTTCAGAGCGCTATCCAACGAAGGTCGCATAGTCCTTTTGTCTGCAATCAATTATTATTGGAAAAACAATATCATCCTAATTGAATAACGACGAATATAGTAGGTATTCTGAAGTTTTAACCTATCTTATTACTCTCTTTATTTAGAGAAGTACTCAATCCTATGACTAAAGAGAGGTTTACAACACCTCTTAGTTGCTTACTTAATTTCTAGCACTATTCTATTCGACACTTTTTCTATATAAAGAGCATAGATCTACCGACACGTGCGTTAACGAACTATTTTTGCACATAAAACCTGGAAAAAATGTTATGTGCATCTTTAGACATCAGCAAAGCTCATGATAGTAAATTTAATGAGACTAGGTAAATTTCTATTAAAATTTGGAGTTCCATTTTACTTGAGATTGTGAATTATTAACTTCCTACCTAAACGTATCTTAATTATTGGCGATGCAACAGTTGAAGGGCTTCGGAACATACCCCAGCAAAGCCGTTTAAGTTTTATCTTCTTTAACTTGTACACAGCCGAAAAACGTAAATTTCAAGTTGACAAAACAATTATTTGTCATTATTTTGTAAATATTTCAGCTGCGGTATCCTTTGCGAAGCCCTTCAAACCATGTTAAATAAAGCTGATCTGTTTTATAATTCGTGTGTTCAACTCAGTTTACCATGTAAAAAAAAAAAAAAAATAATCTATTTTCAAAGAATCAAAAAAACTCACATACTTGCCAATAAATGAGACCAGAGTAGAACAAATTCTTGGCAGAATCATTAATGGCAGTGAAAATTTACAAGGATACGATGAAAAAACTAATCAACTCAGTATGCAATTTTCAACTTTTTTATTCAAGCTTATGGCAAACAATCAGACAGCTCTGCAACAAAAAAGGAAGCCCTAACAATATATAAGCGTTTATCAGCTCAAAAATACAATTTTCTCCCACTCGCGTTCCTATAAATTTCCAGAATACATAAAAAGAATACAGACATTTGAAAGTAAGTTCCTAAAATTATGCAGTGAATTGACATTCTTAACACCAAGTCGTATCCTAGGAGCCATTTCTGGCAAAATATCTATCTTTAAAAGCGCCCACCTTTTAACGGCGAAGGAGTTGATTACCGTAAGAATTACAAAGATTTTGGTTTTGTAAAAAGTCGTCTTCCACTTGCATCCACCAGCCTGTGATGAAATATCACACAGTTATGTTATCAAAAATTTCATAAAATTTTAAACATTCTGTCGCCAATATTTACTTCAGAAAGAAATATTGATACATCACGTGCATAATTACTATTCTACGTAGCACTTAACTTCTTTTATAGTAACTATTATGAATACATGGCATTGATGAGTCAGTTGGCAATAAATTTTCCCGTTTCACGATAGCTGACAATCAGTCCATTGAACGTACAAATTCAAATGCAAAATCACTGACGAATCATCTTATCATGTAAACTGTCTCCGACAAAATTAACTATGTTATTGATTTTTATACTGTAATCGTCCGGCTTTTTTTTTTTTTTTTGGAATAGATAGGTCATACCAGACCAATGAATTTTTCCTGGACATTAACGGTCTCTCTTTCGTAATTAAGTAGAGCCATAAGTGAATGTACGCTGATTCCATAGAATTGTTCTCATTCTGCATCTTGTACACTTTCAACCCGATTTAGGAACTTTCTTATATTGTACACTTCATTCTATGACGTTATACCTAAAAAATTTGCACTATTGAGAGAATGCAAATTCGTTTATTGATTTAGGTGCTTTATTGGATCAAACGCTTCATTTCTTTTTACATGGAGAGCTCTCCATAAATAAAGCCATGTCATTAAAGGTTTGTCCAAGGAGGTCGATGATGCATACACTATTCGTAAGACCCATACTGGAATATGCCTTGTTTAGTCCCTCTTCTTAGCGTTGCTATGTTAAATTAGTTGTATCAGTTCAAACATATTTCCTTTTCTGCCCTTCGCTCTAAGGAATCTGAGGTAGAAGGCGATTACCTTTTTGCCACTCTATAGAAAAAAAAAGATTCCTATTTCTAGCCCACCTTGGCAACTACTACAATCATTCGTTTGCTCTAGTCCTTTTTATTTAAATTAACAAATGGTATTATAGATTCCTCGTCTGTACTACAATAGAAATTTAGTAACAAAAAGTCTATTTCCATCTAACGTCTTTTGCAAAATTTGACTGATACTGTTGCGAAAATTTCATACTTAGTTTACAAAATAAGAAGAACTAGAATTATTTACAGAGTTAAAGGAATTAATTTACAAAATACAAAGGTTTATTGTTTTACAAAATTCACTCTACTGGCTGAATAAACAGATGTAATCGACTTCATATATTTTGCTTATAAAGTTTCAAAACAGATTGCGAATATCACATTTTGTTTTATTGTTTCTTGTTAATCGTCATACACAAGGGATTTCTAGTTATACTTGCCATCGAGGCATTTTTATTAATCAACAACTGCGCGTATCTTAGATTGTCGAAGGGCTTCATAAATTTTCATTAGTTGTTATTATTTTTCTGATATTGCAGTATCTGCAATTTATTATAACATCGATAATATATTACCAAAACAACTATCTGGCCTGCTGAAGTCATATTTAAGAAGGTAGAGCACTGTAACAGACTAAAAATAGAAGTTGATTTGGCAATTTTTTTCTATGAAAGGAGGCTTTTAAGCATACCTTAAGGTATCCGAAAAAAAATATTTTTCGAAAACGTTGAAACAACAACGCCGCAGCCCTTCTCCGGAGACACTTTTTTTAAAAAAAGTAATAAAATTAAAATCGACTTCCTTGTGTAATTGGCGAACGTTTCAGTGAAAACATGCAATTTTTGTGCAAAAAAAAAGATACTAATTAATAAAAAATGCTCAAATTGACACAAGGAAAAATTCTTCTAAATCCACTAAACAACGTTGTTTTGAAGATACATTTAAAAAAAATTGTAATGAAAAAATTAATTGTAATTTATGCTGTATGCCGATTTGAAAAACGGTGATATGAGATAAAGGCGTGTAAAGTTTTGACCTGTATTACACGTATGTTTTTTATCATAAGCTTTTTGTTCATTTTTGTTGTTACCCTGCAATTCCAGGACCACAAAACTATCTTTCCAAGTTGAAATATTCCCCACCTTTCTCTTTTCTCGAAGATTTTATGCTACAACTTGTTGGTCGGTATATCCAAGGTATTTTGCTTACGGAAAACCCCGATATTTCAAAGACAAATTTTTTCCAGATAATGAATTTTCTTCTACGTATTCTAAAAGGTGCAAAAAAGCATATAATAAGCAATAAAAAAAATGTACAATAGTCCACCCCTTAAACTAACTTTTAATTTGGATGCTTCGTATAATTCCTTAGTAAACTAAACAGCTTTGATACTGTGGAATGTTAAACTGTTATGTGTTTGCCTCATACTAACGGTGAACATGTAATGTGCCTCTGTAATAGATATTTAGGTGATTTTATTTTTTAATTCGTTTAGGTTAAAATTTTTTACTGTAAGATTAATTCTAAACGTCAACTATTAGTTGAAAATGGAGTGTTGATGTATTATTAATGTAGGCGCATGTAAATGTTCCTTAATTACGTTCGTGTCACCGTATTCTGAGTATTCTAAGACTTTATTTTTAAAATTGGAAGATATATTTAAACTAAGTTATTTGTTCAGTCAATGGAATTCACAGAAATTCGAGTGTTATTATGAATTTTTTTCGCCAAGGAAACGATTCAATTGCTCCAACTTGAACGAAACTGTTGCTTCTAAATCCTTCAAAGTATTACCACATTTTCCTTCTTTCTAAGCATTGGGAAACGATATGCCCAATTATGAATAAGTAAACCGTAATTTATCTTAAACAGAATTTTTAAATGATTAAATAAAGATTGTTTTAAAGTTTTTGAAGAAATTAAAAAAAAATTGATCTTTGACAATGTAAAATTCCAGAAAGTGTGCATGAAAACACGAAATTTAAATAAGTGTTAGTTTCAAAAGAGCTCGTTAATAAGAGCAAAATTAGCTCCTTAAAAACACCACCGAATCGAAGATAAAATCGCTTCTGCTTTTAAGAAATAGCTTTTAATGTCTGCGTCAATAATAAACGGAACAACCAATTTTTCCTTCATAACTTCTGAAGATAGTTCAATGCATAAAAAAAGGAGTGCATCCTACCAATGTTTTAGATTTGAAGTCTAACTCCAAAAAAAGGAAAATTATCACCTAAAATAGTCTAGTCAAACAGCCATAAACAATTCATTCAAACTTTCTTAAAAACTAGATTCATACCTCGATTAAATGTAGTTAGTATGGTTGAGGACATTTAGAAATAAATTACATAAAAAATAAAGACATATCAATAGACCATATCTAAATACAAGCAATAATTTTAACTTTCCTGTAATTAAGAAAATTGGCCTAAGAATGTCAGTCACCATTACTACTAACTGCCAATTTTCATTGAACTAATTCTCAATTATCAGTGAATGTCAATCAGGACTCGTTTGCCGTATTTCTTGAACAGATTCTTCGTTTTTAGCGTCATGATCATTTCAATCTTTGAATTTTGCAAACAAGTCTGCACATTAACTTACGCTATGCTGAAGAGCAGGCACATTGAAAATGTAATAGTATGAAGGTTTTTTTTTTTCAATATAATATAAAAGAAGATTTTATGTTAATTAACTTCTCCATATTTGTAATTTTTTAAACATTTTAACTTTTAAAATAAAAAACAAGTCAAAGAGTCGTATTCGGGTTTAAAAACGAAGTTTTTGTGTCGGTGTTTTATATAATTTAATTTAATAAGTTAACCAAGTCTGCCGTTAGGGTCGTTATCATAAATCCATTGCAGAAACTTTCCGTGTGGAGAAATATTTTGGTAATATAAAGAAATGTTCTTTCTCTTTATCTATACAAGACAATGCAAAGCCTCGTCCTTACGGTATAAGTAACTATAAAATTCACACATCCTTCAATTAAAGATAAGGCAACTTACAAATAACACGCCCATAATAAAACGAGTCAATAATGACTTTTTTATAGTACAATAAATTGCAGCTCTTTTGTAAGAAAGGAAAAGTACCACTCATTACCTCTCGCCGCTGTCGCATTCTTCACTTTCACTGTTTTCGCTTCGTCCAGTGCCTTGAGCAATCTCACTATGGAGAGCTTCTTCTTCAGCACGCACACAGTCATGAATGCCAACTAACAATGAATAATCCATAATGTGCAATTTGGTAAGTAACTAAATCACAAAAAATAAGCAATTAATAAGAGAACTAAATATGATTGTCACAGCTGGTTTACACGATGACAATGAAATTTTGGAACTAAGGAGAGGTAGATTATTTTGGAATTTGATGTAAAAGTTGTAAACCAGCTATTATAACTTACGCACCTCGACATCGTTTGCGAGTAAGTCCATAAGCTTCTTTTTGGCATCATCCCCGATTTCTACACGTACTTTTTGTTTTATAAAATCGTTATCCTTATAAGTAGGCAAATTCTTCTCTAATTCTTTCTCTGATGCTTCCCGATCTACTGTGCTTCCTTTTAAATCGAATTTTCTATAAAACGTTCATGCGTTCACATCAATTTTCACAACTTTACTTTGATTTATTCAACTTACTTATGAATTGTTAAATGTGAACTGAATACATTTCTCATTACCACAAAATAATATTGAACACTTTCCACGCTTATTCTGTACATACCTAAATACTGTGGTAATAGGGTATTACCATGCCGTTCAACGACGTACTATACACATATAAATAAATATATATTCGATCAATTATGATTTGTAGATAGCGTATAGACTGTGTTTATATTTACTGGATGATATTGTTTCAAAAACGCATGCATACGTTCAATCTCTTCCGAGGTCAAACTTTTTATTATGAAGAATTTGTTATAGCTCTCATAAAACTGCGCCGCAGATTTTCCAGACGATTCAATTCGTATCGGCTGAGAGCGAGTAAGCGACTCACGATAATCAACATCATCGACTCCGAAACGCTCGCGTAAATTCCGAAATACCAGTGGACAATACTCTTTTACCTTAAAATGTGATGGCATGTTTTCTCTGTAAAATAATTATTCTGGTTGACAAGAAATTCGTACTTAAAATAAAAGATTAACGTTACTTATTAAATAAATGATTGTCAACCTTGATTTTTGAGAAAGCACGAAAATCATCCGGCAATAACATTACAGGTATGTTTACGTGACTAAGTTCATTAATCTATCAAAGATAAGGGGTAAAAATTTTTTTGAATGAGAACGTTTAAAAATAATTGCATTTACCGTATGATTGACTCCCCACATAAATACACTAAGTATAGGCTCGTTTGCTCGAAAAAGCTTGACTTTTTGGTGTTTAACACGAAAGTGTTTTTTTTTCAAAATTCGTGGCTGTACGGATGAAGACGTCTTTTTATCCATGATGATAGCGTGTACCAATATTATTTAAAATGTGTGAACCTATTACGTCAAGTGACCATTTTCAATAGAAAGTTATTCCATGAAAGAGCGCAGCATTGTTTATGCGTACAAAACTTTTGACTTATGCGACGTCAGTTTATTAGCTAAACTGATTTACCTTATTTTATTAGAAGTTTCAGTAATTCTTTTAAGTTGTGCAAATTAACTAAAGACTAAATCTTTCTTAAGAACAACTGATTACAATAATGTAATATATATAAATATACATATTTTTTAGATTAAAAATTCGGCTTGTTCACATCACATATTTATTCACGCTCTTGATTCTTTAAGACCACACTTCACAGAAATATACGAACTATACATGAAGCTAAAAACACTGAACATGAAAAACTGCAACTCAAAAATTTTACTCGATTTTTTAGGTCAGTTACAAACGCCTTGTCACGTTGTGCAAAATGTATAAAAAAACAAAAGAACTGCCATATATCATTTCTATGAGAACAAACGTGACTAATTTTATCATTTCTTTCTGATTGTCTGCATTTAATTGCTAACGTTTCCGTGATCCAAGACTTTTTCAATAACTATCTTTAAAAGAAAAAAAAGCTATGTCCTGTTACCCCCGAATTTATTGCTAGGGTTACTGTACAAATAAAATCGTTTATTTGTCAGAGTGCCGTACATTTCAAGAATATTAATAAAATGAGAAAAAAAGAGAAACTTGGATCCCCTAGAGATGTGAAGCAAAAGAAAGCAGACATCCGGTTCTTTGAAATTAGAAAATGGTTTTTCCAGAAAAATTGAAAATTTATTAAAAAAAAGAACTAATGTTGTTTGTTGGAGTGCTTATACTTTCCACATCTTAACTTGCTGATTATTTCATTGTTCACTTCAAAAGATGTCTTATACGTTAAAATCATATACATATCTTACACAGTAAAATGAGAAGGAAGCTGTCGGTGAAAGATTACAAATGTTAGAAAATAAAGTTTTCAAAACATACAATTTAAGAAGGGACTCAAAACTCTTGTTAGGAACTTACATCCAAGCGTATATATACTGTGTGCGGAGCACACAGGAGCAATAGGATGCACATATTCCTGACATTACATTTTTCAGACGGAACGTTCTCATGTCAACGAAGCTTCAACTATAATCATGCCAACTCGAGTGACTGACTACAGGTGACAGTTCACTTTTTTAATTATCAAAAAACGAAAAATTTTTCCTTTCAATATTTTCAGGTAAACATATAAGCCATCCTTATTGGCTTATGCCAACTAATCAAAAAAAAAAAAAAAAAAGATGCTGGTTCTAAAGAAAAAGGTTTACTACACCTATATGTATGTAAGAATTCTATCAAGTTTGAAAGTTGGTCCAGAAAATGGCAGTTGTCAATATCCATAACTACAATACTGTATAAGTTAACAGAAATTACCAATAACAGACGACAATTTGAAATGTCAAAAATTCCGAAAAGTCTCCTGTCTTTTCAGGTCAACCAATTAATAACTATATATAGTGTAGCAATTCGGTAAATTGAATTTTCAATCAGTCAGCAGTCTTCAAACATTCCCACTTTACAACATTTTTTTTCTATCTTAAAAAGAAGTTCTGAGACTATTTCCATTGAACATTTCATTGCCTTTAAAATCCGCGATCGATCCCACAAACTTTTAAATATGGTATTGCCATTTTCAACAGTAATAACTCCGCTACTCCATTGCAACTAAGTAAAACAGATGAACCGGGAATAATCATTGTGAAGCTCTGAAGAAAACGTTGTTGCTAAACCTAGTCCATTGTCGACATATAAAAATTTACTTTACCAATAATTACTACTAGGGAATACATATTAAAATATAAATAAACAAAAAAACAAAATATTATTCCAGTAGACAAGAAAATTAAATAACTTCAAGAACTCAGAAAACATCGCGTCAATGTTGGATTTTGTTCATGTAAGAGGTGATATGAAGAAAAAAAACAGCATATTATTAAAAATTAATATTTGATGGGGTTTCCTATTTCCTTAATGACGTCATTTAAGCATTTTGACATAGCTTGTGTAAGAAACAGGGATCTTACTTCATTCTTTTTGTAGTCTATTTTTCAGATCTTGGATGGAAGAGAATGAGTATTATCTCACACGGCAGTCCAATTCATGCCACATATTTTTGATGGGGATGATGGCTGTTGATTGGAGAAGAAGATGAACCACTTTGCAGCACTTACATTGGAACTGTTATCGAATTAAGCGCGAGTTATGCTTGAAATCGTTATCTTGGTAGAATTTGAATGTTTCAAAAGTCCTAAATTTGTCCGCACTTTCTTTCAAATTTTCTTGCAATATCCTTAAATAACACTCCTTGTTTAGAATGCCATCCATAAATACCAACTTTTCGACTCCATCTGCTCTAATGGACACTCAAACTACAGCTTGACTATTCCCTTGGTGGCCGTAAGCCGTTGGTACAAGAACGTAATGGCAAGCGAAGAATAAAATTTGCCAGGAAAAGCGCCCAAATCTTAGTGAACTTAGGAACGTGTTTTTTCGCAAGGAAGGAATATAGTGTTTGCATTAATCATAAACAGAAATTAACAATAATACATTTTTCTATGCTAAAGTGTTTACAAACTACAGAGTGTAAGATCTGTAAAGTAAACTTGCCCATTCCAATATTTTCGCTAAATATAAATAGTTAAATCAAAATTTTCAAACCGCTATTTGTGTTGAGTGACTGATTTCGTCAATTCATCTACTATTTGTTTCTCAGCTTTTATGAAAAAACGTAAGTCTCTGTTTCATGCTTACTTTCACGTATAAAATTATATTGAACATCTTGAGTAGAGGATATAAAGATTATCATTAACTAGCGCAATTGGATTTTCGTATCCGGAATTAATTCAAAACAGAAATAACAAAGTTATTTCTTAAGTTATGATCGATAGACGCAAATACCCGCTTTCAGTAGAAAAAAGTGGTCCTGTATGTCGTCTTTTGCTGCATTAAGATATAAGTCCAGCATTGAATCTCTATCAACCGTGCAAAGCGTCAGACGAGCACCTAAGTGCACAACATATAATAATATAATTTCTTAGTAAATTTCCGATATTTAGGTACTTAAACATTTTTCAGCTTCACAAAGTAGTTTCATGCGAAGTTCCTTGGTTAATTTGTCTAAAGTATTTTCAACACAATGACTGCTTTTTACTGCATGCTGTCTGTCCAGGTAATCTTGATCGTACGTGTTTGATATGTAGTCGATCATATAGCTTGCTTTGCTTATTTCATCGTTAAGTTAATTTTTATATATCTACTTGTTTCGTCACCGACAGGCATAGTGATGAGAGCATTTATGAGAACAAAACAAAATCATATAGTTCATATTTTACGCTTTAAAATGGTTATTTGTATTTTTATTAAAAAAGAAAATTAAACTATTTCTATACAAAAAAAATTCTTTTTTTCCTTTGTTAATTATATTTTACTCCAAAAATTCACTTCTGAATAAAATTTCTCACGTCGTTAATTTTGCGTTCTATTAATGTTTATGTGAACAAATTCTAATCATACGGACAATGTAGTAATTACGCAGATGAAAGTTAGCTTTCGCTTTGCTATTCAGCTGTTCGACATAAATGAAAATGAAAGAAATAAATTTTTCATAGATGGTTGTCGGTTTCAAAAAGTCTGGTGGAATTGGAGTAGAATGTGTTCGCTGTGATAAAATTTGTGTCAAATAAAGGAGTCTGTTGAAAACATACTAATAATATTTAACGTAAAGAACATATTTTATTTAATTTCGCGAAAGAATATAAATTAGTGAGGGTGCAAAAAAATAAAATTTTCTGTTGAGAGAGAAAAATACAGGAATTATTTTGTGCTCAACAACAATAATGATAACAGTAAAAAGTTCAGACAATGGAGCGCTAAAATAACGTTCTTTTACCACAAATGAAAAATATCTACAGAAGTTCCGTTAAGAGAAATCGTATTAAATTAAAACCGGAAAATTAAAATATATTAATTAAAACTGTTTTTTTTTTTTTTTTAAGAAAAATATATAAGTGTATATTGTAAACATATTAGCGTCATAAAACTTCGTAGAGTGCATGCATTTGTCGTCTCATATTTTCTTCCGGTAATATTAATCGTGGTGCCTACTGAAGGCCGCCGCTTGATGTATGCTAAAAATGTAACTGTTGGCAGTAATAATATAAATTGTTCTCTTTGCGAGCGGACACTTCATCTTGACTGTGCTGGTATCTCGGAGAACTAATTACCACTAAAAAGAGAATTTTCAGGTACGAATACAAATACGTTGCGATAAGACGTTGGATGGAGGTGGCATTTTCTTACAAATTAAAAATAGTTTCGTGCATACGGAACCTAAGCTTAATTCAAATTTAGAAAACAGTCTGATGAATCCCGAGAAACAGACATGTGATTTAGCGCTGGAACCATATAATCGTGGTCTCCACGAAATTGATGAATTGCTAGCCGAGCTTTTGCAACACGACTAGCAAGTTCGTGCGAATATTGCTAGGGTGCGGAACGAGATGTCCGCCGATCAGTAGCATAGACAGTGGCTAAGCGTCAAGATCTGAACGATATAAGGGCCATTTTGGTTGAAATTGAGCATCAACGCAACGTGCAGCTTAAACAGGTTTGATATCATAGTGAGTGGCTTGCAAGATGGCATTAAATATGTGACTCGTATTGAACTCGTATTGAAAATTGCAGAGCGGTGCAAAATTAAGACGACGTATACGGACTTACAGTACTGCCGCTATTTAGCCAATGGGAACAAGTTTTTAATAACATTTATTTCAATATACGTGCGCGACGCGGTTATGGTAGGATATGTCAAAGATCCTTCTATTAAGTTTAGTGACGCTAAATAACACTGGCGCAACCTGTACGATTGGGCATCTGAATTGTAAAAGTTTAAATTATATGAAGACTGACGAGATTAGGAAATCTGTTTGTCATACGGAATGGGAGGTGGTTGCCTTTAGTAAAACCTGGTGGAATAGTCACATTTCTTCAAATTCGGTTAATATTCCGGCACATAGTTTGTGCAGGTTGTGCAGAGAGATAGATAGATAGATTTGAATAGACCCAGCTGAGTTCTTTGCTATATCGGTTAT